ATCGTGTGTGCGATCGAGGCGGCCGGGGGGGCCGCGCCGGGGGGTTGCGTCACGTAATTTTACGCGACAAATGGGCCCGGTGTAATTAGTCATCGAAACCGGTGGAACACCATGCACATGTCCCATTTGTCTAGCTAACTTATGGAAACGAAAATCTCTTCATAAAAAGTTAATTCCTCCATATAACTTCTCTATAATTAAACATTTATTGAGCGACTTTAATATTAAAAATATCGTTATATAAATGCTAATTATTGTCGGTTGTAATTAACTCTACTAAAGCTTTACCTGCCTATTAATTTTATTTATATTGTAAAAACGATTCGGCACGCCTACCGGTCGGTTTGGTGTGAATTAAAACGTGGTTAATAAAGAAGTCGATTACGAAATTAATGAAATAATCGTTTCGTTAAAGTACTACCGTCGTGTACCGTTCGTTGTGAACGGTTATTTTTGTTTTCAAGGTTTAACGCACTTGAAATGGATTAGAATTAACTAATTATTACGTTGCGTGTAATTTTATGATATAAACAAAGAATCCGACAAATTTATAGTTAGGTACAGTTCTAGAGGAATATCAAGAGACGTGGCAGGCGCGACTTTTGTAGTATTGTAAAAATATTGCATAGCTGACGATTACAGAAAATCCTTTTTAATTCGACCTACTTCCGCATGGAGGCGGATTGTTCGAAATTGCATGAGCCGTTTCAATTTCGGTATGTGTATTTTTCTATGGAATTCATATCTTTTCGGATATGACTATGTACGGTTTCGCATAGGGCCGTTTGTCGATAGGAGGCGGCGCGGCGTCCTTTGGCGCTCGTTTCAGGTATATAATATCAATATATCAGAAACGCCGGCGGAACGAACGGCACATATTAAAAAGGGTTGCAATTTTTGGCCAAAAGTTATGCTACAAATTTGGTTCTTTACGGTAGATATTCGCTTTAATATATTCTGAAATGCATGCATCATACTGTAGTGATTTCTATGAACGAGTAGTAGGTATCTACTGTAAGATTTATAATAACTCAAAACCCCGTTAAACTCAACGAAATTTATGTTGCTAATAAATTTTAAGAGTTGCTGTTAAAACTCCCTGCTTGTGTATCTAAATTAACAGGGATACGAGGTAGTATAGTGTGTTGGTCCAAATGGCATTCAAGCTTTTTTGTACTTTTACGTCCTATGAGACAGTACATGTAGCGCGTCCATTTGCTGAAATTTGTTTCATATTACGAGTGCACGGCCACTTACACATACGCTGCGCGATTTTCCCGTTGCTCATACATATGAAAAGGTACGAAATAATTGAACGCAACGTTCGCTGCCGGCGAAAAGGGATAGCCGCCGCTTTTACTATTTGCTAAAATTAGTATTTTTACTCGTGTTCCTTAATGTTTCGCAGAGGATATGTTTGGTAATAAAAATGCGTGGTATAATAATAGGAGGGCATTCTGTACATGCACCTTCATGTATTCATACCCGCAGCCTGTTGTTTTCTTGCTAATAAACACAACAATTACGGTCAACAGTAGCCGAGCGATCGAACTAAAAAATTAAACTTGTTATGCAGTTTCGAAAACGACAGATGTTTCGAATATGGAAACGTGACAATTACGTTTGTCGTTCTTTTCGCGTGTTGTTTTGTCATTTTAATTTCTAGTGCCAGACTAGCGAAAATTGGCAATTACAAAAAATTGAAAAACTCGTGAGATTTATTTGTAACTTTGAAAAGTGGTGGTTGGTTTTATTACACATACCGACATCGTATAATTTAGTACTTTTGGCTTCAAGTTTAAATAGAACAAGCTAACAAAATTGATAGCTTAAATTTTCATAATAATTGGAGGAGGAATTAAATTCCGGTAATATTAGCAATTTTGAATTAATTCGAATTTTCTGAATTGCACCCGGATCAGTATAGATTATATATAGAGTGTCTACCAACCGTAACTGCGGGTGTTTTGTTGTAACACCTCGAGGTCGTAATTCACCAGTATTGTTTCACTGACAAATATCACGATTCGCTTTGGTTGATTTACTGCCGTATAAAGTACATTTTTCTACACGCCTATATATCTCGTAATTCCTGCAGTTTTATTTATATTTTTTCCCATAGCCCGTTATTCAATTTTATAGCAACTTTTCGGATAACTCGTTGAATTTCTAACGTTTTTCCATCGGCTGCGGAACGTACGTGAAAATATTCGAGACCCGGATTAGATTTATTTACGGCTTTCGGAAAATACGTTTTTAAGCACTATACACTTTAATCGCAGAGTTTCAGTCTGTATGTCTATTCGTTATTTTCCAGGATATGTCGAGTGCTTTTTAGAACTTTTCTCCATTTTAAAAGACTGGTAGAAAATAATGAGTATAAAGACCTATTCACAAAATTAACTCAAAATTCCTTTTCTCATTAATTATCGTACAATATGCGTGTATTTTCAATGATTCGCTTTAAATATACACCTCAATACATCATCTAAAATATTACGAAAATACTCTAAAGTAGGTTGATGGTATTTTCGGACCATTGGCGTAGCGATGTGAATGAAAATAAATTCCGGTGCTTCCGAGCTTGGTCAACGAAAATCTCCATCCCGGGGTAATAAAGTTGCAAATGGCCGACCATTAATCATCGTACGACTGACAAATTTGTCGTCGTGCACAATACAACAAACGACGGTAGTGAAAGTTAACTTTATGACGGTGTCAAAGTGACCCCCGCGGTCTACGAATATTTTTTTTTTCGAGCTTCTAGAATTTAATGGACAACCGACTCGAATGGGCCCCGAAAATTGATGAATTGTGCTTCTTGGAAACAAATACTAATTAGTCTTACTGCCAGAAATATGTGAAAAACGTTTGGTTTAAAAGATAAATACAATATTTTGAAACCCATGCATAACTTCCATGTTTCTTCGAATAACCAGCTGCATATTCCATTCATTTTTCATGTAGATTCGCCGATGCTTTAGTCTACGTACCGTGAATGTTTTCAGCTACGTACAGCTCTCATAATCATTATCTAAATTGGAAACTAATTCGCAGCGGTAATGGTGCAAGTGCATTAGAACCTAACGATAATTTCGCACCGTTACGAACAATGTCCTGAAAGCTATCCGAGAGCGCGGCGGAAACGCCGAAACTCGGAGTGCACATAAAATTTCATTACCACTCTTCACCGGCCGAAATTTCGTTATCTAATCGATACAGAAGAAGCCCGGAGTTGCGATCCTTCGCGTAAAATTGCCCGCGACGATCGGATCGGTCCCGGCCGGTCATAATGCTAGGAGGTCGTGTCGATTCCATGCGATTCTCGCAGTTCCCCGAGACCGGGGCTATCGCGATGCCAACTAGACACGGCGAATAATACTTCTTGTTCGTCTTCTACGGTAATTACAGAAACTCTCTTAACTCCCTTTCTAGTGAGATATCTCGTCGATTAAATATATCAGATACGTACTAGGAATTCCTTATCGGGTTAGCGCATCTGGAAGGTGAGTCGAGCGGACGGCTTTTTTCCATTTCGAATTCAAACCGCGCAAGAAGCTGACAAAGTGTTGAAAATTTAATAAGACACGGTCAAACTACTTCCTCGTTATGAACGTTGCGTATTAAATTCGTATCGTTATTGTTATTAGTCCGTAGGTACAACAGATTTCATCTCTAACGTCTCTATAATTACCGGTATCTCTTCCGAACTCTTATCAAACGATGTTATTGGATCAAAGCCTCGCGCACCGGCCGCTCGGCGTGAGAAAATCGAAAATCATTAGTACAGACCGAGCTCTCGATCGTCCAGAACGTCCCGAGATAAGCGCAGCCCGGCAGACCTCTCTCTAGCGCTCATTCGAAATTTCTCTACCAATAACTGTATAGACGTATTAAGAGATCTTCGTATATATCGCGAACAATGAGAGCATTGTCTTGGACGTAATCACGGCCGCCGAGGACCTCGGCCGCCGTCGAGAGGTCAGGATGATGCCTTATACAGGGTGGATAAACTATTTTTTGTATATATACTCATCAACCAAAAGTTGTCGATTATTTAGAATAATACTTGATTAGTTTGCGCGTTATTTATTAAATACATTTGAAGAAAATTTTTGCTATAATGCTTCAGTGAATACACCCTGTATATATCGACTTGCATTGGTTCGCTTCGTCTTACTTAGAATCGATATTGTTTTCCCATAAAGAGCGATTCTGCTACAGCATGAAAATGAATTTATCGCTAGGTATTTATTGTGGGTGTTGAGCATCGTGCCCTTTGCGCCTTCTTATCATTAAATGTGGCTCTTTAAGAATATGTAAGTCCTCGATACTAATGTGGGTATTTTCAAGTATTAATAAAGAACGATTCGAAATATTTTAATGCTCGAAGTTTTCCCCGAGAGCGAGGCGAATTCAAAGGAAATCGTTAAGAGAACACGACTAATTTACCTGTTGCATTTTTTATTCGGGTTCGCTTTCTTATAAACATACACGCATTCGAGCCGTCCGGGTTAGTTTACCGGAATCCGCTTTGGCGAATTTATTAAAGCGCGAAACGTACGAGAACGGGACGGGCGGGCGGATGATAAAACGCGAACGCCAACAGAAGTATTTTCGCTTGTAAAAAGAAATGTCCCGTGAAAAGAAATATGAACGAAATCCCCTGGCGCTTTAATGCCGAAGATATGACAGTCGGAGACAAAGGTGCGGGAAAAAAGGAGAGTTTTATTTTAAAAATCCGACATGACAAATAGTTGACGTCGAATTCGCGACCGGTGTAAAAGAGGATGATACCGAAATTCCTAGAAAACCGGGGAAAAACGGATTTGTTTCTTTTGTTTGTTATTATTTATCGCCTCCTCCGAGTGGCATGTATGCATATACAAGCATAAAGAGATTTACTGTTAATCTCGTTGATTTTACGAGGGTAAGTTAAAAATTTTGTAAACTTTTTTTAATCTATTCTTTCAATATCGACGATTAAATCGAGTACTCACCATGAAACAATCGGGTCCCTGCAAGCACATCGACTCCCCGTTCGGGCCGTCATTAGAGAACTGTAAAAGAGAAAAGCCAGAATTAATATTGAGGATTTGGTCGAGATTAAAAACTTCATTAAAATTTGCATTTCAATATCGTCTCGCTGGAATGCCGGAAAACCGCCGTCGCGACGCCCCGAGCCACTCGTTCGCCTTAACTATACGCCGTTCACGACCAAAAAACACGGCTCAGAAATATAAAACTTTATTCAAACCGATCGGAATTCTCATTATTCCTTTTGGATAAATCCACGGTATTCCAAATATTATTGAAAACTCAAACTCTCAAAGGGATTTTATGTGTAATTTTTTTGACAAGCCTGTATGGTAGATAATAGTTAAGAATATCTTTATAATGTCACCATAAATTACTTAACACATTCACCAACATTAAAATCAGAATTTACCAGAAAAGAGAGGAAAAAAAGGGAGACTGTATATCAAAGGAAATAATTCCGCTCGCTTTCTCGCCGAACGAAAACCGCTCCTCATCCAAACGAAAACTTTTTCCTTTTTATATTTCGATCTGCTTTTTATTTTCCGTCCCGCGACGGCTATACAGACTCGATTATCGATAACATAACTCCGGAATTTAACTCCGAGCGGAAAGGAATTTTCCGAGACGCGGACTCCGGGCACGTCCGGAATTCCTTTTCAAAACGGCCGGCGAAATTAGTCAATCCTTATACGAACGGTGCGCCGGAGAAACGGCCGCAATTCTTATATTGGAGATATCCCGGAATTCAATTTCGCCCGGCTGTTTTAAAATCCATTACATTTTTATTTTGTTCGTTTGCACATTACAATTTACTAGATCGATCAAAAATTTTATATGTAGTTAATTACCTATAGTAATTTTGACTTCTTGTTTAAATAAACAAACAATAAACCACTGCGCTTATTTACCTCGCCAATCGATTCCTTCTTAGGATAACATTTACATTTTCAACCCCCCATCAGACCCTTGCAGAAACCGAAATGAACCATCGAAAAAAGCAACCCTCCCGGGTTTACTGTTTATCAGTAATTGTCGATTGAATCGAGCAAATCCAATTATAGGATAAATTACGATCGCGGACGAAGAGTTGAAACGAAAGAGAATTCAAACAAAAAAAATATTAAATTTACAGGGAGCGGTGCGTTTCGTTCGGTTTCGTCCCTTGTTCAGGGCGCCCCCCTTCGCGTCATTATCCCAATTTCCCTCGTATGCGTTTCCCGGGAGAGACGTCTTTGTGTCGGAGTAACTGACCGTGCGGAATATAATTTACTTTGAGTTTTTCGCTGTTGGGTGACTCACGGAAAGGATCGCGTCCTTCAGGATTCTGTATATTAGTTTTTTTACTGGGGATGATTCGCTCTGAATAAACATCTCAATTTGCTTGTAGAAACAGCGCGAAAAGATGGTTTTATGCGTACAAAAATAATTGTATATTTGTATTGTAACATTGCGGTGAATAAAACGCTCGGATATTCATCGAGTTATAATGCAGGATATTTTAAGGCGTCCCGAAAAGTCTCTTTTGTCATTATTTATTCAAAAGTGTTAGCGTTCCGTTTGGGAAAACCGACTTGTCAACAAAACTTGGGGGAAAAAAGCAATCAAAGAGGAACGGGCGCTTCTAATAAGTATTTATTTCCTACTTTCTTCGCGCTCCTCGACCGAACTTTCGGGAAGGTTTCGTGTCCGGAAGTTGTCGAAAACTTTCTATTATGAGGATATTTTTTTAATGCGTGTCGCATACACATCATTCCGGCCGGTTCTTCGGAAAGTTTCGCTTTTGTCGGGTTTAACAAAAAAAAAAACAACCGCAAAGTTGTTTCAACATACGTTAAATCGTTAGGGGAACGTATAATGTTTAATGTATGGTTTTATCTATTTGGCGCAGTGTATGCAACAATGGATGAAATTACACGTTCCGGTCAAACATCGAATATCTCGATGTTGTGGGTGTCGGTATAGGGTAAACAATACAACAGACGGAACTGCATAATTTGAGGTATTTGATGCCTTAAGGTCATACGAAAAACTCCTATTGTATCAGCCAATATTGCTAGTCAACACGAATTATTCCTACCTAGACTTTTTACTCTTCAAGTGAGAGTGTAATGTTACTTCTTAATATAGTAAATTAGAGAAACATCCGAAGAGGTGAAATATAGTGTACAAAAACACTTTTTTTCGTACCGTTTATATCCCTAAAGCAAATGATAAATTCCATCGAGATTGCTTGTGGACATGCACCCAATCAAATACGCCACGGTCAGTTACCCGCGCAAAAGAAATCCCGAAGACGAGGAGGCATCGCAGAAGGGAAAATCGACATGATGATTGAAGGGGAAAGCCCGCAGAGTTTGTATGGTTCCATTCTTTTTTCGGTTATTAGATTCTCGCAATATTAACTTTTTCCACTTCTCCTTTTCCCCTTTTAGCAGCTCCGATCGCAATTTCGCCTTTCGTTTTTCCGTTTAGGTGCGCCCTTTTACGACGTCGCCGGTCCGCTCGGCCATATGGACTTGACTTCTATTAAAAAAATAATAAAGGTCGAACGGGCCTTGTTCGAGCAGGTTTTGTAGATTATATTGCAGTGTAAAGAATGATAAAAGAGGGCGAGGGTGCCAGTTTTATTATACGACTCTTCCCGTATAAGTAATAGGAAATACCGATGTGCTTCTTAAAACCAGACACTTGCAGAGATTAGTTATTTCAAATTAACAGTCCCGGCAATCTGACGTTGGCGTATATCATTTAAAAAAAATGTTAAAAAAAATATTTCCATCCATCTAATCCACCTCTGTCTGCCGACGTGTACATACGTATCTTCGAACGCAATAAAAACGCGCGATCACGAAAGGCATTCCTTGCACTACACATGCAAATTAAACTAGAAGGCGAGGAATGACGTATTTAATCCTGATGAGGAGAAATAAATCCAATCAACTGGCATATAACGTATCTGGGACGTCACAATTGTTTAACATGAGACAAGTAACGAGCATCCAGTTACCTTTGTTCGCGGCCGATAGAGATTCATTTGTTGGTGCATTCCGAATTCAATATAACTGCAGCGTTTGTGCGCACAAAGGGAATGCCGTATGCAAATAACACCTTGTTAAAATGTCTTTTTTTTACCGCTTACCTTCCCTTGCATTTTGTTTCTCTTGTTTATAAGTGGCTCATTTTCCCAAGGACCGGGGAATTTCCAAACTCACTGCAGAAGATAGCGGAATTCGGCATGTATTGGTAATTTATTTTGCTATTTTTACAGGAAAATTACCTAAATAATTCATGCTAGATATAAGTAGACGCTAATGCAATGCCAGATAGTCGCATTGCGATGAATTAACTTACTCCGATATCGCAAGCCCGCCGTTCTCGAGCAATTTCAGCGAAACGCGAACGTAATTCTCCGTGCACGTGTAATTACGATTCATCATTGTTACAAAACGCGAATTCTTTCCGCAAATCTCGCACGACGTCGGTCCCGGTAGAACGAAGACCGCTGAAATTACGTTAGAAAAAGAGTTTACGTTTCCCATTCAACGTCATAGAGTCTCGTTCGTTTTTTTTCCCAGCAGATACCGTTTGGTAAACTGCTTAGAAAACGTAAACATCCCAACGTTGTATCGATAGGAATCGATATCGTAATTGTGATTTTCCCGCGAGGCGGTAATGTTTACATTAATCGCATGAGGGCTATATTAAATCGTACGTACGTTATTATTACAACGATGAGATTAAACAAGATATTATTACTGAATACGGAAGGGCAAAAAGAACGAGAGTTTCGAAGAATGTTACCCTCGCAGCTCGAAAATACCCAACAAACCGCTGCGGCGTATCCATTAACGTTTTAAATGGAAATTACGCGTCCGTATAATACCGATGCCTTGTACATTTTTCTGCTCGTTGTTTTTCTTTTTTATTTTTCCTTCGGTTTACAAAAAGGTACACGTGTTGCTTTCGCTTCGGGTGCACGTTGAATGGGCCCATTCTTCGAATTTAAATGGGCTCTTCAATAATCAGCGGTATTTATGAATGCGAACGGATGACCATTTTCGTCTCGGGCGCGACGATTTAGGACGTCGCGTCCCAGTAAATTCCGTTAGCCGTCGCTATGGCGACGTCGTCGGGCGAACGCCGAGCCCTCGCGGTAATCGAGTTATGAGGATGACGTCCGGACGACCGAAAAAACACCGGGCGAGTGTTTAAAAGAAACCCGAATCCTATTTATGATTCATTAATTTGTACCGGGTCACGCCCGGGATTTAATAGCTTCGAAAGTACCTATCCACTTAATGAAAGTGGCCCTATCTCGGGGTTAATTGCGAATTAAGGGATCGAAATGTATATACTTATTGTGTTATTTAAAAACAACCAAAATACACGAGTGTATAAGACAGTAAATCATCTCACCCATCGGGTGTTGAAACGTACTTTAGACAAGACCGATTTTTTAAATCCTATTTATGGTCCATTCGCGTCGGATTTGTGTTCGTATTTCTCGATAGCGCATAAAAGGATTGAAATAGTTTGGGCGTGAATGCGTGTGCGTAGAATGTCGCCTTAATGAATTCCGCCACCAGCTGTGAAACGTTTTTGTAACACGGAGAGCTTAAGGATGCATAATTTTGCGAGCGATCGCGCTTCGCTCGTTTGTATCGCTTTACCCACGCCCGTTCCCATATCTCCGTCCGCCGCTTGTAACGCAGCTATTCGAGAGGAAAACAACGCCGATAATATCTCCGATAAATCAATTAAGAACACGAAATTTGCTTAATGTGGTGCGAAAACTAACACACGCCAAGCAAATTTACCGTCGAAAGAAAAAGAGCGAAACGATCGCTCGCTTTATACTTTCTGATTTTACACGACGGTGCTCTTCGAATTCGACTTCCTGCAGAGATAAAATTTCCCGCGATGAATCGCCTTCTCGAAAGAAAACGAGAGACGGAATAAAGGTAAAAAGAAACGTCTAAGGCGTGAGGTAATTGCGATCTTTCGCTCGAATTCGACTTTG